CACACACACACACACACACACACACACACACACAGAGAGCAGCTTGCCAGCTCCTCTTTGAATAAACAGTGATTGCCCGAAATGACTTTGAGCTTCCCGCCAACCATGGATTCAATTGTGGTTGTGCCTAACAATGGAACGCCTCCACACACAGAGAGAGAGAGAGAGAGAGAGAGAGAGAGAGAGAGAGAGAGAGAGAGAGAGAGAGAGAGAGCCGAAAGAATGCCTCCGGAAGAATTTAACAGAAATTGTTGGAAAATGAACCTGAGCAGAAGCCCGTTCAATAAGCACATCACTGTCTGGCAAGCGTTGTAATCGAGGTCGCCTGCTCCTTTCTTGCTCTGCCATTTGAGAAATAAGCTCATGAACTGCATATCTGCACACCATTTCAGAAAAAAAAACAGATGCACTCGTCTCACAACCAGTCCCCATTTTCTCACGTTCCTTATTCTTGTGTAAACCTCACCACCACCCAATAACAATAAAATGCCTACGGTAGTTCTACATTGAGGGCCAGCTTTAGCTTTGACCTTACAGATTGGTTTCGTGTCCGATATCATGCATACATTTTATTGTTGTCCCTGAGATTGCGGACCTCTTTTTCTCTTTTCGTGTTTTTGAGGAACCACATTTGACAAGCGAGGCAGATGCCCACAATCTCTTTTCTCGTTGTCCCCCTCACTATCATTTCCTGTCACTTCAAGAACTACCCACCATCATGAACGTACGTATAAACCCTGTTACGTTCCATTATCATGAACGTATGTAAACCCTGTTACGTTCCAAATACAGTCATGATGCTGGTGCATTTTTTTCGGGGGAAGAAGGCAGAAAGGAGAGATCATAACCAATAACACTCTGCTAGTGGAAAATCTCTCTCTCTCTCTCTCTCTCTCTCTCTCTCTCTCTCTCTCTCTCTCTCTCTCTCTCTCTCTCTCTCGTCGTTTTCTTTTTTAATTTCTAACAAAAATCCTTCTTGTATGTGAGAAAAGGACAACAGTGAAACCCCATCCTTGCTGCATGTGAGAAAAGGACAGCAGTGCAAAAGAAAAAGAAAAGGACAGCAGTGCACCCCCAAAATCCCACGTTCCGCCTTATGCTCCTCATTGTCCTCAGTAACTTTTCTTTTTTTCCCCCTTAGGTAACTTTGGCACACGTCTGTTCAATCGATTTAACGATATTTTGTATCTCCCATTTACAGAAGACGATGACGACATGATGATGATCATGATGATACCCTTGCTGCTCTCCAAAAAAAAAAAAAAAAAAAAAAAAAAAAAAACTTGCTGCGCTAATGACAAGTTGGTGCTGGTGGTTGTTGTTGTCGTTGTTCCTGCTCAGCACTGATGACAAGCTGTACCTTTCTTTGCTTAGACCTCAAAACCCAACAGTGCGAGCGGTACTTTTAAAGGACAGGCAAGTGGGAGATTTAGAGAGCGCAAACATCACCCCTGTGCACTGGGCCGGCTATACAATGTGCCCGGGCTTTCACTAAACAAATTAGATGATGATAAAGGCTCCTAGCCTCTGGCGGGCTGCTCTACATCGAAAAAAAAAAAAAAAGCGGTTCCTGACGTCACTGGCAATCTTTCCTGCCCTAAAAAAGAGTTGAGTTATTACAGTAACAACTAAATTTATTTAAAAAAAAAAGAAAAAAAAAGAAACAAGGCTCCAGATGTCCTTCAAGATATCCGTTGAAATTGGAGCGATACAGAGAAGATTACATAGTCCATACTCATCTCTAAGTAAGACATTGGTCTTTTATATTATTTTATTATATTATTTTATTTTCTAATTAATTAGTAGTAGCTCCACGTAATAACGTCAAGGTTCCTGTCCTCAATGTCAGTCTGTCTTTCTGTTACTCGTAAAAAAAAAAATAGGGGTTCACTTTCCAACAATCAAGGCAGGGGAGGAGAGGAGAGGAAGGGCAATCTGCAGAGACTCAGTCATCAACGACCTCCTTTGTGTACATGGCAAGAACCAGCAGCAGCTGATCGCTTCTTTTCTCTTTCTTTCTCTCTCTCCTTTTATATCTTCTCTCACATTCACCTTTTGGTTCATGTCTAAATGAGCAACAAATATTTTTTGAAGGACCGCATGGGGTTCAATAATATTAAATGCTCTTTTTCGAAACCGGTCTGGGCTTTATCAAGAGGAAGATTCGACGAAGGTTCAGAGGGGCGGAACCG